TGTGTGTGTGTGTGTGTGTGTGTGTGTGTGTGTGTGTGTGTGTGTCTAAGGACTCATATAAATGAACTTTCACACCATGTGTTGAACATGTATTAATAGTTAGAGAACATTTGAAATGATTATCTACTAATCCTGCAGTGCATCAATAATTCAGCTAGTAGTTAGTTATTTTGTGAACCATTATGAAGTGAATATTATTTATGCMTTTGTAAGTATTAATTAAAGTAGACAAAACACTGAAAGGCCACAAGTTCCTTTTCACCTGCGGAGATCTGACCGAAATCATAGTCAATTCAAACATTTTCTAAACATTACTACATGTTTAACAAATGGTGTGGAAGTACATTTATATTAGTTTTTCCATAAATACATATATATACAAAATATATATAATAGGTAATTAATGAGTTATTAAGCATGAATAAACAATAAGTATGTTTGTTTTGGATGTAATTTGCCTTTATGGGTACAGCATTAATAAAAGTGCTAATTTAAAGCTTATTAAATAAGAATCATGCTAAATTAATGATTTTTTAAAGTGCCTGTGACATCACATTTTTGTGACAAATATGAACGCACTTTTGCAAAGATAACATGGATAACATATTGCAAAAGCAATTTCATGCCACTGAGATGAACAGTTGTAAAGATGTTTGCATGTGAAGTAACAGGAAGTGATGTCAAAGGGGAATGTCTGCATGTAAACAAAGTTTTGCTACAACGGCTAACAACACAGACAGTAGGGAATTTTCTGATGTTTCTTTAGATAATTATAGTCCCATAAGAGAGAGATGAAGAAAAGTCAGAGTTCAAAAAAATATTGTTACAATAAACAAAGAGCAGATTTGAAGTCACCTTTMATGTCARTTCCTGTTTCACTTTAGATGAGCCACATTCAAAGGAAAATATGTCAGTTATGTGACTAAATGGGTTAAACCATGTGTTTTAGACCAATTTCCCTAAATACTGTATGAAGATATTTTCTTTGATTTTTTTTGTATTTGAAAGATAAGCATGCCACAGGCATTTTAAGGTTAACTAACCTATTATTAATGATTAAGTAGGGCTAAATAAGATGTAGTTATTATAACATGTTACCCATTTTCCTCAATGTTTATAGTTGATGCTATAAACAATTTTTTACTAAGTTTTCATGCATATCCTGTGTTTTTATGACTTATGAAACTTTTAGTTTTGTTTTTGAGCATAAAATCAAAGCTCATAGAAACACAGGACACATTGCAGTGACTTTCCAATTGATGTTGGAATATTGTCTTTAAAAATATAAATATTCCAAATGATCTTTTATATGGATTAAAGTTATAATCGTGCAAAAATTTACAAAACATGCAAACAAACAATAAAACATGAAAGTAGTGAGGAATATATAAGGAGCTTCATTAGGCCTCTTTCTTATTTTTWTCAGTTTAATGTATTTTATCTGGACACAGGTCACCAGAATGGGAACTTACACATAAAGTCTTTAAAAAATGAGACCAACAGGATTTCAGGAAAGCATCAGCTGATGTTTATTAGGRGGAAAGGATGCACTGAGGTCTTCATTAATCCTGTAACGCTTCAGTAAAAGTGTATCACACTAATCAGCACATGGATTTGACTCAGTCCTCACTCCTTTATCTGTTCTGTCATCTACACTCATGTTCTGTTTAACAGGAACTGGGTACAGTGTCACTCCTGGACTAATCAAGAGAATGTGCTCGTTTTGTTTTCCCTCTAAAGTGGCCTGAAAATGTCACGAGCAGAACGCAGAGACACATCACCGTTTCACTTCTTCCTGCCTCGGTTTTATTCCGTCCACAAACACTGACGACCTTTTTTTAACGCTCTTTGACAAAACGTGACCATGAAGAATCTTTGATGCCGTCTGAAGAAATCTAAGCTTCAACAATAATTACAAATATTCAWGCAGGAAATGTCTGTGATTAGGTTTTTAAGTTTGGATGATGGAGCGATAATCTGTGTGACGCCAAGTAAAGAAAAACAGCAAATTTGTTTTTACTGTTTGAGTCTCTCGGGAAGCTGCACACTTTTTTTTTCTTATCCTGTTAAAGCAAACAGGATGGTTTCCTCACGCTCCAGTCAGGAACCTCGTTTAGTTTGGAAAACGAGGGATATTTGGAATTAACAGCTCCGAGCCCCTCCTCCCTCTGACTGTTGATGACACCCCTGCACAGCGGCAGACGCTCGGTGCCCTCCYCTCCGCTGATCTAATCTGGCTGTGTCTGGGAACATTCAGAACGCCYAGCTTCGCAGAAACAAGACAAGATGAAAATGAAAGGGGCTTCTTGTCGGGAACGTGTGGCGCTCGAAACCGAGAGGCAGAAAAGACTGAACGCAGACACACTCGGCTGAACAGCTTATAAATTATTAACTGTCAGGTAATCAAAGCGTGAGCTCAGGTTTTTCTTTCAAAACTGCGACATTAGCATGAGAGCCGACTTCTTTTGMAAAAGTTGCAGAGTGGAGTTCAGTTTGTGTGTGTGTGTGGTCTGGTTTATACTCCCACTCCATACATCTTGTCACAATATGACCATAATGCTCACATTTTATATTTATCAAGTAATATATGTCAACAAGCCATCTATAATTGAATTACAAATCTGTGTAAGCCTAAAAAGAAAACCAGAAACTCCCACTAAAAAAAGAAAGCTTCTGGCATGATTTAYTTTCAGCTGCAGCACAGGTTTAAATGCATTTCTGTTAATCGGGGACGTTTTTTTCTATTATTTTTTTTTTTACTATCTCAAAATATAACGCTTCCTTCTTTTTCCCCGCTAAAGCTGGAGGGCTTACAGGGAGGAATTAATCAGAACTTCATCTCCTATTATTTCTGTCGAATCCTCCAGCTCAGAGAGAGATCACATCCGTAGATGAAAACTTCCACTTTTTATTCAACGCGAAGCTTTCTCCAAGGAAACGGCAAAGCTTGTTTTCTAACTCATGTCAGAGGTTTAGTGTTAAAGGCTCTATTTATTCAAGAACCTTGCCTGAAAGACTATTATTTTTTATCTTCTCAGCTGAGGGAGCACATTAAGATTCAAAGAGTCACTGAAAGTACATGCAGAGTTATAATGGGACTACAACCCATAACTAATAAGCACAGGCAGAGAGAGAGAAAAAAAACTTTTTAAAGCCCCCTGTACTTCTCTAAACTAAGTTTATTGGTCAGAAAGCCACAGTTTTAGCTGCACGCATGTTTCATTTGTTTGGGAACTTAKGTGATTTTGTGACACAATGGATTTCACGAGGGTGTGCTTCATTTGCATTCAAAGAAGTTGTGTTTTAAACGTTAAACACACATTTGTTGTCCAGTGCAGAGACTTTAAAGTGCTCAAACGTCTTTATGCTTTGTTTCCAAGCAACTAGATTTTCTTGTATTTTTTAAGTGATCTTAGTCAATAGAATAGAAATGATTTTGGCTGCTTTTTCCATTATTTTTGTCCAGTTCTTGTACCTTGGGTGCATTTTTCAAAAAAAAAAAAAAAGATTCAAAAAATGTGAGCTGAGTTAATATTTTATGTGCTGTTTGTCTGGATTTTTTAAAACAAATAATAAAAAGAAGAACAGAGGAAAGAAGTGTACAAGATTTAAAAGTCATTCCTTTAACATTTCAATGCACAATTTTTCTTAATTCTCTCCTCTGATCATTTAAGCTCAAGACTTCAAGCTTTACTGTTTTTTTTTTTTTTCGGTTGTTTTTCTAAATACAATAAAACCTGGTTGGAAATTGAACTATATTTTCTGTTTTCACTAAAAGAATTGGTTTCTTACCCACGCCACAGCCATGATGCCCAGTGCGAACAGGCTCGGCCCCAGCAGGTTCCACAGACCGTGACGGTCCAGCTGCAAAGCCATGGACAGAGACATCGCCCCCAGCAAGTACAACACCTTCACAGAGAGAAACAACACACACACATGCACACAGATCAATACCTCCCCTCCATYAACACTGTCAACACCACTGCATCACCAGTAAATAAGACGATGATTGTGTGGACAAGTAGCAGCACAGCTCTCCCTTTGGTGTTTTTAGTTTTCATCCAGATGTGATCAAATGTTTCTGCAGCTTCGTGTTTAATCTCCTAATGACTAATAAAGCCATAAGAAATGCTAGTTTTAGTTTCTACTTTAAGCTATTTGTCCCGTTTCACTATTTTTAATGTCTGTTATTAATTTATAATGTGCCCCCCCCCCTCAGTTTGTTAAGCTAAATAGTGAATAATTTAAATATATTTATCATTTTTGATTCTTCCATATGTTTTTCATAGATATCTTGTTCTGCAATGCTTATCCTGTTTCAACWATTTATATCTCAAAACGTTCAGCACCTGGAAGGAGACCCRGAGGAAGACCCTGGACATGCTGGAGAGACTTGGAGTCTTCCCAGAAGAACTGGAAGAGGAAATTGGGGAAAGAGCGGTCTGGGCTTCCCTGCTCAGGCTGCTGCCGACACCACGGATGGACGTTCAGCACTTTTTGACATGTTTAGTGTTTTCTGCCATGTTTCTCTCACTTAAATTGAACACAATTGTCTTCAACATCATTAAAAACCTTCAAAACYGTCATAATTTTTTTCTGTATATTTTACCTTTTGTTCTGGTTCTGCTTAATTAAAATCATTTTGATAATTTCAGCTTCCTTTGTATTTGATTTGCTTGATTTTAGCTTTGTTTTTCTGTTTTTAGCTATAGAAACCCAAAAAGGATTCCAGCCAACTACCAGGTGAAAATGAAGAGCCTAAACCCAGACCCAACCCAGTCATCATTTCATATGTGGAGGGAGTTTCAGAGAAACTGAGATATTTATTCTCTAAACATGACGTCTCAGTGGCTTTCAAACCCCAAAACAAGTTATGACAAAGATTAGTTCACCCCAAAAATCCAGTTCTCCGGCAAAAACAGAGTAATATAGTATATGCTGTTAAGTGTCAGGAGGACTGTGATCAGTTATACATTGGGGAAACAAAACAGCCACTGTTCAAAAGAATGAGCCAGCACAGACGAGCTACATCGTCAGGTCAGAACTCTGCAGTTAACACTCATATATAGGCCAGCAGTCACTCTTTCAGCGATGAAGATGTTCTCATCCTTGATAGAGAGGAACATTGG